GTTCCTCACCTACCCGATTGCAAAACTTTATCTCAATTCTCCCTAGCCTTTGGATTGATCTGATGGCTATAAAATGAACCCCTTATAACTTACCACTCATAACTTTCCACTCATTATAGTCTGACCTATTTGATTCAATGATTATGAGATAGAATCTCATCTAAGAGCCTTAGATAATGCCCCTCAATATAAAATGACTCCCGAAAAGTAAAGCGTGATTAAGATGGGCCTGCATTCTGTTCAGATTTTTTGTGCAATATGGACCCAACTCTCCCTTTGGGCCCAATTTGTTCAACACCACGGACCTTTCATAATCGGGTTATAGGGTACCCACAGCCACCGTTCTCTTCTCTGCGAGTCGGTTTTTCTTTGCCTCAGCTTCGTCAAGATGGAGCAGAACAGAGTCTTCCATTCTCTGATTCCGAGTCTTTCAGCAGCTCAATAATGCAAACCACCACCACGGATTGACGAAAAATGGGTCATGCGTCTCTGATTTTGCTGCTGCTTATCAATTCACTGGTCCCTTTCTCTTCCGGTAAATATAAATTTCACTTTCTTATTTGGGTTTTTCAGTCTCCTATCAGATTTGCAGTTTGCTCGCTCATAATTGTTGATTTTGTTGATGATAGAGAACCTCTTTGCTTAAATTATGCACAGAACATTTTTATTCATACTAGTCCAGCTTTAGATGGAAATGAACGACATCATGAATTTCTATTTGTCGTCTCAATCTAGAAAGCTCCCTTCTTTTGCATTAATTGGGGATACTTTAGTCTAGCACATGCAAACATGAGTATATTACTGCTTGGGGGAGCAATCTTTTTGTATCGATGGCTTTAACATGGACACCTGTGGCTAAACTTGACAACTGCAACATCAAATAGTTTCAGTTTTTCTCACACTAGCTTAGTGTCAACTGTCAAAGCATATAACTTTTCATATGAAAGATCGTTCTGGCATGGCCAATGCTCCTGACACAGCTTGTGGGAAGGTGAGATATGCTAGAATCAGTTTAAAGCTAGGCCTCTATGCAAATTATCTTTGGGTTTCACAAGTCTTGAAGGGGCATGCTAGTGTTTGAAACTTACACAAGGTGATCTTTGGTCTGCCTTCACTGCCTTATCACATCTTACAGGTGTATGCTCAAATTGCTCATTTTTAAAAAATGTAATGCTGGCCTAAAAATTAGACTAATTTGTTATTTTTCCTTCAAGTTTTTCTTTTTCCTTAATACTTATATGGAACTATTTATTAAGTTTTATCTAAATCTGTTTTAATGCAGGTAAACCTGACAAAGTATGCACTTCCCAAGGTGGTCGTTTCCCACCATTCTCTTCTGAGGGAAAGCCTCCAAGACGGGTGAACAAGGGACCCAAAGATCTGACCCTTTGCAGGGTGTTCCGCAAAAAAACTTGCTGTGATGTATCCCAGACACATCCTGCACTGGTATCCGTTAGGAAGTTGGCTTCAACAGGAGAAGCTAACCCAGAGTGCTTGCAATTATGGGAATTACTGGAATGTTCCATCTGCGATCCCCGCATTGGTGTGCAGCCGGGACCTCCAGTTATATGTGCCTCTTTCTGTGACAGGGTCTTTAAGGCTTGTGCCGAGGCTTACTACTCTACGGATGCAATAACACAGGTATGCGAGTGACTATTAAACTTAGCCAAATCCATTATAATCTGTTGTAATGAAGGAATAGGTGATTACAATTATCTCCTTCCAGATGCATTAGGGAATTATTTTTTCTGATCAAGTATTTTATGCCAGGTTCTAGCACCATGTGGAGTAAATGATTATGTTTGTGGTAGGGCCTCTGAATGGATCGTTAATGGCACAGAGTTC